TTATGAAAATGTTATTTCTGAATGTTCTCTCTAAATGTTGTAAATTTATTTGTTTGTTTGAACATTTCATTTGAATGTTCCTTGTTAGCTGGACTCAAACAGAGCAATGTTTTTGTAGAGCCACAGAGTCAGTGTTTACACTTTTCAGAGAAATCCGTCTCTGATACTAAACTGGAATAAGAATATGTTGACATACAAAACAATGTAAAGAATTCACCTTCAAGACCTGTGAATGTAGCCTCTGAATCTCACCACTAGATGGGGATATTTCCAAATAACACTTGGAATAACACTGTTGTAGCATTTTGTCATTTAATATACACATTGAAATAAAATAAAAATAAAATAGAATACAAATATTTTTATTTTATTGCTAAATAAAATTAAATAATAAAGCAATATGAAATATTTCATAAAATAAAATATATTCAAATAATAAAATACAAATATTTTATTGCATAATAAAAACAATATTTTATGAAAAGTCTCCAGGGCTCAGTAAAATCAGCATAAGTAAGAGCTGCAATGCTACCCTGTATCCTAAAAGAGATCAATCACATTCCTGAACCCTGGGGTCAAAGGCCAAATAAACTCCCAGCTTGTACAATGCACATAACTCAAGCATGCTCTCTCAGACTCTTTTCTTTTGTGTGCACTCTCTCGCACCCATGCTCACACAAACACCGTATTTGACCAAATCTTGATAAAGAGTTTATATAAATTGATGATGCCAAGTCAGTTTGCTGCTGGTTTCATTGAGTAACCAGGGTATGTTTTTGTTTCTAAGAATATGAATTCACAGAAACAGTTGAGAAGGAAGCAGAGGTTGAGTTGGGGCAGCAAATGAAATGTTTTTCTCTGGAGTGTGACCTTTGGATAATTATGTGAACTAGTGGCCAAGATCTAAATCTCAAAACAAGAGACAGCTGTCTCCTGGATCAACAACAAGATGTACAGCCTGGATGGCTTTCTCATTGATGTATATTCCTCTTTATACTGGAAACAGTGCTGAACCAAAATCTTTGGCTGAACCTGTGACCTTGCAAAGCTCACCTGCATTGTTTGATAATTGTGCAAAATATTGCACAAAATTATTATTACACAAAATTATGCCTTTCCTACTCTCTGACCTCTTGCTACGTAAATCTGGTTTACTTTTTAAATTTAAGCTTTACCTGACCTGTAGATACACTCTCTGGTTATTACTGAAACCTTATCTGGTAACTGCCATTAACAGGATTTGTACTTTAATCACTTTGATCATAAAGCATCTCCAAGCGTTTTAATGTTTATTCCTTAAAACTAATTTACATTAACAGTATTTTTTTATATACTAGCAAGTCATCTGGTAGTGACAAGTATCAGTTTTACTGTTACTTCAGAACAAACTAGTACTCAGTGACAAGTATCTAATCCATTGTAACTGAAAACAAATTGCACATATTTTGAATTCCATTTGGGATCTGTAGTTCAGATATCAACTAGTCACTTCCAAGTTCCAACTAGCATGTATATCCATTTCAAGGTTTACCAGTATTCCAGTTGTTGCTGGTCAACCCGATCTCATGAAAGTGCATATAAATAGTACGCCAAATAAAAACGAAAACTCGTGGTATTGATACGCAAAAATGGACTTTGGCGTGTATATGCTACGCGATGGGTAGGTTTAGGGTTGTGGGGTAGATGCGTATCATATGTACGCGAAAACTGCGTATCATATGCACACCAACAAATTTCGTATCATATGCACGCGAAAACTGCTATTATATGCACGCCAAACACATGCGTATCATATGCACGCCAAAGTCCATTTTTGCGTATCAATACCACGAGTTTTCGTTTTTATTTGGCGTACTATTTATACGCATTTTAGCTTTACTGGTATCTGTATTCATTTAGGTACTACTATTTTCTAATCCTATTTACTCTAAATTAGTACCTTTTATTAGACACTACAGTAGCATTTTTAATATTACTAGTAAAACTTTTCATTGAAGTATAATGTAACCATTTTGAGTCATTATTGAAAAGGCAATTGTAACTAGTGAGATAAGAAATGTTACTGTTAACTGGGAAAGATATTATATAGCCTCTTATAAATAAACAGTATCTCATATATAAACACTAGTAAAGCTGGAAAAGATATTACTAAATACTGGAATAAGTATTAGCCTAGCATTTCATAAATCATTACTTGTGAAAATTAAAAAGATGCCAATCACTACTAGTATGACTGACTAGTAATTAAAAAAACTAATAATGATACTAGCTAATTTAAATACTTCCTTTATAAATGTTTTGTCCGATTTAAAATCATTAAAGCTATTAATAATATTATAGAGCATTATATATCTAGCCTGTGCATGGCTCCAAACTAAATGTTCTCTTATGGTATTTATTTACTGTTTGGGCGTCCTGTTGGCATATTTGCAGTCCTTTGAAGCAGGCCTGAGGTCACTGATCTCTCAGGAGCAAAACACCACATTCTTTTTTTGTGTGCCCAGCAGAGCTGCTCTTTGACTTCTTTGCCCATATAAGGCATGAGATACCATGGCAACCGTGGGCTTGAATAGCTGTGTCAAATCCCTCCGAGCCCCCCTACACACACACACACACACACA